GTCGGCGGCTGATGCGGGCGCCGGAAGCCCCATCAACCGCGGCGCTGACAGCGCCCGGCCCCCGCCACAGGCGCGCGACCACTCGATGGTGCTATTCCCGCAGCTTCCCGCCAGCTGCCGCGCGCCCCCGCCGGCCTGGTGGGCGCTGCCGGCCTGCGCGCTCGGCGGCGATCCCCCACAGAGCGCCCGCGCCGCGGGGCTGCCGCCGGCCCCCATCAAGGTCTCAATCGGGCAGCCGCTCGCGGCGCCCGGCCCCCTGGCTTTGCGCGCCGCCCAGCGCCACGCGCCGCACGTGTCTGCGCCTTCGCTGGACCTTCAGCGGGACGCGTTCGGGTGGCTGTCAGACCCGCTGTCGTTTGCTGCGCGCCGCCTCGCGCCGCGACTCGACCTGCGGCGCTGGGCGGCAATGCGGCGCGCATCGCTCCCGTCCGCCGGCGGGCCGCTGGTGTGCGGCGGCAGCGGCAGCGGCAAGAGCGCGCTGCTGCACCTGCTCGGAGCGTCGCTGCAGGCGCGCCCCGGGCCCGTCGGCGGCGACGCGCCCGTCGATGCCGCCACGGGCGCGGCCGCCGAGCGGACGGCGCCGGCGCACGTGCTGGTGGTGTCCTGCCGCGGCCTGGCCGGCGCGCGGTTCGAGCGCGCGGCGGGCGCCATCGGCGCGGCGGTGGCCGAGGCGATGGGCGGGTGCCCTGGGGCGGTGCTCCTGGATGATCTGGACATGCTGTGCCCCGCGCCAGGGGACGGCCCAGAGCAGGTGGGGCCGCGGCTGGGCCGCGGGCACGCATGCCTTCGCTTGCGAGTGGCAGGGGCTGTGTTCTAATGCTTGGGGTGGCCGGCGTGCCGCGGCGCGAGGAGCGTTGTGGCACGCGTGGGGACAGAGCTGCCGACGTGCGCTGCTCAGGCAGGTAGCCCCTCTCGTATTCTATTGATTCAAAATCTTGCTCGTATTTGCAGGCGTCGCAGGACTCCGAGACGGCGGTGCGCTTGGCGGAGTGGCTTACAGACCTCATGCGCTGGGCCGGCACGCAGGTGGGGGCCCGAGCGTGCGCCCTGTCCAGTTGCAATCTGCGGCTGGCTGCACCAGTCCCCGCGCAGACAGTCGCACGCATTTGGCGTTTCGACACCCACGACTGCTTCCCGTCGCTCGCCTCGTCAGCACGGCGTCGTCACACTAGGTAGACTGCGGTGTGCAACAAGCGCCATATCTTCCTGCCCACATGGGTTCGCGCGCTGAGCGTGCAGGGCATCCCGACCTCCCCGCACCCCCGCAAACCCGCGCTCGCATCCTCCCCCCTGCAGGCGCGCCCCATCGCCTTCGCCGCCTCCGCCCGCGACGCCGCTGCGCTGCCGGCCAGCCTCCGCCAGGCCGGCTGCCTGGACTGCGAGCTGCGCCTGCCGGCCCCCGGCGCCCCCGGCCGCGCCGCCATGCTGCTGCGCGGCATACGCGACCGCGGCTGCGCGCTCCGCGCGCCCGTCGCCGCGGGCGCGGCGGCGCCTGACGCGGATGCGGCGGCGGCGGCGGCGGCGCTGGCGGTGTCCGAAAAGGCAGATGGTTTTGATGCGAAGGACCTGCAGGCGGTGCTGGACAGGGCGGTGCACTTTGCCCTGCGGCGGCAGCTTGCAGGCGGCGGCGGCGGCGGCTTGCGAGGCGGCACTGTCTCACCTGCTGTTGTCAAGCATGGTGGTGGCGGCGACGGCGACGATCTGGGTGCGGGCACAAATGCGGGGGCGGCAGGCGGCCAGCAGCAGCACACACACTTACAGCAGGAGGGACCGCAGCAGCATCAGCAGCAGCGAGAGCAGCAGCAGCAGGAGGAGCAGGAGCAAGGTGGCCTGGTGCTGACGCCTGCCGACCTGGAGTCGGCGCTCGAGGGCTTCGTGCCGGCCGCGTTCCGCGGCGTCGGGCGCACAGGCGGCGGCGCGCGCGGGGGCGGGGGCGGCGGCGGCGCGCCTGAGGGGTGGCAGGATGTCGGTGGCCTGGCTGGGGCCAAGGCGGCGCTGACTGAGGCCCTTGAGCTGCCAATCAAGTAGGCCTCCATTCTTCTTTGTGTATCGCGACGTGGGACAACCGGTGGCATGCAGGGCCAGCCCGTGGGTGCTTGCGCCGTGGGCTGTTTTCTGCTGCGCGGTGGACATGCACGCCGGCTTGGACTCCGCACCGGCGGCTCCTGAGTTGGGTGATAATCATATTGCACACCGCGGCGCCCCCTCACCTGCTCACCGCTGCCCCGGCTGCGGGTCCGCCGCCTGGCCAGGTGGCGCCACCTCGTGTCGCGCGCGCCGCTGCGGCTGCGCACAGGTCTGCTGCTGTACGGCCCGCCCGGCTGCGGCAAGACGCACGTCGTTGCCGCGGCAGTGGCGGCGGTCGGCGCGCGCCTCATCACCGTCAAGGTGATGCCCGCGCCTGCCACCCCCCCTCCCCCCTAGCAAACCCCCATGGGGAATCTAGGCGCCAGAACGGCAGGGAGGGGGTGCTCTTTGAGTCACACCGCTGCCCCTCCTCCTCTCTTGCCTCGCCCCCTGCCTGAACCGCCGCGCCCCTCCAGCTCCCGCCAGCTCCCGCCAGCTCCCGCCAGCTCCCGCCGCCGCCGCTCGGTACCGTGTGGGCGTCGAGCCGCCCACACACAACCATCACCAATTACCCACCTGATTTTGGCACTAAACCGGCCGCTCATTCTCAACAACCCAAATCGGACTTGTTCTTCAGGGCCCCGAGCTGCTGAACAAGTACATCGGCGCCAGCGAGGCGGCCGTGAGGGACCTCTTCTCGCGCGCCGCCGCCGCCGCCCCCTGCGTCCTTTTCTTCGACGAGTTCGACGCCATCGCACCCCCCAGGGGCCACGACTCCACGGGAGTGACCGACAGG